CCCTCTATGTTGATCCAATATTCTCAATACTTATTTCACACCAAGATGTTACGAAAGACCGATTAATTATATAACCATTTGTGTTCTTTGTGATATTAGTTTGATAAAGAAGGGGAAACAAAGAAACTCAAAAGGAGACAAATCCAACAAAGCTGCTTGAATTTTGGTGAAAGAGAAGAGAAACAAAGCATATCATCATACCATATGTCTCTTGCATGTATTAAACTAACACCCAACGCTATACAGTCTATAAAATCCATCTTAAACGAGCCGGAGAATCATCATAAACTCTCCCAAAACCACAAAACCCAAAGAGACAAATCCTTACTTTCCTTTCCTTGTCTATGTATTCCAGACTGCACACTTGCTAAGCGATCGATATAAAGATATCTGTGACCGAGCAGTCAAGTGCGCAGACAATACCCGATAACAATGCTGATGAATGCCACAACGCATACAAACAGCAGAGGGAACCCAACGTGCACTTCTTTCACTATCTTTTTCGTCCTCAGTTCCGCCTGCATCATAATACAAGCTTTGTTAATTATGAAACTGTTTCCGTAATAAGAGAAACAGTTAATTGCTTTGTCACTACTAAGTCTCACCAGCTCTTTTTGCAAGCTTTGTCTATGTTGGGAGCTTATAGACCGCTCCTCCATTAGCTTCGAAATGGTTGAATCAGCCTGCACCATATTTTAACTCTTTAGCACAGTTAAAAAATAGCTCACAAGTTACAGATTTCTATATTTGATAACCAGACCTGTTTTAGCTTGGATTCAAGAGCATTAACTTTTAGCTTCATCTCCTCAATGTCTTTAACCAACTTATATTCATCCAATGCTTTGATATTCGGAGCATCTGTTTTCTGCAGCTGGACAACATCTCTGTCCTTGAGTATCTTTGGTTCATCAGGATAAGCTACACTGTTAACTGAAGTTATTCCATTAGTAAACCCTTGATCCCCAGGTAGATCCATGGCCCTCTTTGTGTAAGCGTCCTTAATCCCCCTTCCATCATCTGCATCCTTATGGGATCTAATCGGATCAACTTCAGTTTCTTTTGCCACCCTCAATGCATCGTAGCCACCTTTAGTCGCCTTTAAGTCATTAGTAGGATCAAAATCTTCAATACACCCCCTTTGTGGTGGCTTTAATTGCTTTGCATCATCTGCTGCCTTTAACTCATCATGTCCAACCATTCTAGGCTCCTTCACAATCTCACCTTCCTAGAAATATAGATTTTGAGAGTAAAAAAACAAGTATAAGAAACTGTCTACTGCAACCAATAATTGCGACTACAGGCCAAGCTAAAATGGACTAGGTGGGAAAGAACTATACTCATCTTAATTTATTACTAAAATCTCAAAAGCTAGGTTGTGAAAAGGGCTAAATACTCTTCTTACATATTGTGGCGGAGCAAGGGTCTCTGATTGACTATATAATCGATCCTTGAGGATGGAATCTTCAAATACTGATTCATGCTTCTGCATCCCATTAATTGGAGATAGTTCAGGTGATTCAGATGGCGACACAAGAGTGACTCTGAGTTTGTTTTCCTCGACGTGTTTGCCTTCCACTTTGGAAAACTGCCAGGAATAAATATATATACAGATACACTTAACAGACCAAAGAACTGAGTTTAAAGATAGAGAAGCTCAAAAAGTATTCGAATGCTTACCATGCTAGCTGTGATGTCTTCGTCAGTTGTTTCCGCAGGCACAGCAGTGCTCTGGATTAAGAATTTGTCTTTGCAAACCATATCTGGAGGTGGTTCTTTCAAAGCTTGCATAATGACTGCATCAACAACACATACAGCACAATCAACCAAAAGCATTGACTGAATTTGAATGTGCAAGAACCCATTAGCATCCAATTTAAATTTTAAATGCTCAAACACCTTTTGAATATGCCAAAAACGCAGGTTCCAAGTAGAAGAGAAACAATTTGAACATAAATAATTCCATCCGGAGCAGATACATTTTCACTTTAGGACAACTACAATGTGAACTCTGAAGGCCTAGGATCCTAAAACCGTTTCCAAACGCTGATCAAATTCGAGAGACAAAGGATGCATATGTAAACATTCTAGTGTATTTTCCGCACCTCGTAGACATCATGCAACACTTATCCCATTGGCCTAAGACATGTAGGTGCAAGAAACTCATACATTTTTGAGAAGTATATAAAAAGTTTGCATACCAGTGAATTCACATGATGATTTTGGTGCAACAATGCCGACATTTGGACGGACACAGTACTTCTTTGGTGATGTGGTTTTGACCTATCAAAAACCAGTAACACAACTAATTTAGATTTACTATCGTTTTCTAATAAGATTTTACGATGTTCAATATCCTGAAGCCAGAAATAGAAGAGGTTTGATAAGAATTTGTTTAAGACCTTAAATGCAACAAAATTATGGGTTGTATTGGTTAGCTGCACCACACAGGAACTCTGCTTCTTCAGGTCAACTACAAAAGAGGAAAGCGGTTAGTCTTAAAAGGATAACAATTCCACAGAATTTGAAAAGCAACGCAAAAATATTCTTTTAATGACTTCCATCTTCTATTATGAATCCTCAGATCCAGAACGAGAGGTAAGAAGCCATATCACAGAATTACACCACATACAAATCCAGCAAGCAGGAAATAGTTTGAAAATTCCTCAGGATAACCGACACCATAACATCACATCAACTCATCTTACAGGAGCAAGACCCATAAATCAATAACACCACTTTGTTAAAGGAATACACGCCCTACAACAGTGCTAGTCACTGTACTAAAAACGATCATTTTGCAAGAATCATCCCACTAACATCTTACCTACAAACGTCAATGTTCGTGGTTGAATATCCAACAGCGGCATGTTCATGTTGCTGTGAGAAAATCTGGTCAAACACGCTCAAAATCACTCAGAACCAAACAGCTACCACTTGCAGCAGGACTCTCTCCGCCCCTGTCTCAACAAAAAATTAGGGGAGAAAAATACCAGATCAGCTCAGAATCAATCGACCATGAAAGTTTCGATACTTAGAAAGGACAAGAAAATCAAATCAATACTCCCTTTAAGAGAATCATAAAACCCTCACTGGAACATGACG